TACGAACCAATCTGGCAAACCCTGAGAGCCTCCCACCCCCTGGTGAGCTAACACGTCCCACCACAGTCACACAGACACAGTCTGATAGAGACAGAGCAGGTGCAAACAAGACAAGGTACTGTGAGCCAGGTGGTCTCCCAGCTAGAGGACTCAGTCTTTGGCATGTACATTAACTCTCTAACATCCACCTACATGGTTGGAAAACTCCACCCTTTACCAAGAAGCTCAAATAAATCCTTGTCAGCTAGCATCAAAATATTGATGAGCAGGAGTATCCTCAGCAATATGTCAATATTCATATTCTGCACAAAAAACACCTCATTAAAAAGAAAAATTAAAATAGTATATTAGAAGGTTCCAAGATTTCATTTTGACCTTAATTGAAACATTTACATATTAATACCCCTTTTCTGCTCATGAAATCAGTCCCTTGTTGTCTGTAACATGCTTTGGTCAAAATACCCCCAGAATTAAGCATCACAGCACCTTTTCAATGCATTCAAAACAGCCCTGCTCCAAACACTGTGATCTGCCTTAATCGTCAGATTGTCACATTTCCAGTCATTTATGTTTAAATTCTATCTTTTCACAATATCCTACGTTGGTAAAAGGCACGGAAAGCAAAAATTGCGGCTTCTCCACATTTGAAATAAGCAGGTTACCTTTCTCCCACGTGGGAGCAGATCATTCAACTCGGAAGTCGGTCTTTCTTGGTCTAATACCTCTAGTTTCGACAGGAAATCCAGTCTGAGTCTTGAAATTGTATAATCCATTTTGTCAGACAATGTTTTAATGAGAATTCAGACTGTAGATAGAATACGGTTACACGCTTTTAGGCGACACGCTCTCGCCCTCTGTGTAGAAGAAGACGACGTAGCGACGCGCACCTCTCAACAGTCAGTCATTAACCTCATCACTGCCCCCTATCGGTGCAACGGTACCTTCTGCCTCACCCTGTACATTTTCTTTGCGCATTCATGGCTGATTGGAAATACTAAATATGTCACACACATTCATTGAATACATTAGATTGTGGAACATCATGTGTAGTTCACGTGTGAGCAAACAAGTTTACTGGCGATGTAAAGAGAGACAGCAATGGGCCTGCGCCAACTTCCTGCTTCAGCGTGTGCGGCACAAAGACATCAGAAGGGAATTAACGCTCATCACTGCCGCCGCACCTCGCCCGTCTCCCATGTGTTTGAATAGGAAATGCGTAAATTCAGAGATTTTGACCACAGAAATGTTGAAATTATACAGAAAACAGACAATTGCAATTTTTTGCCTCATCATCTCCACTGACCGTACATCACTGCTGAAGACATATTTCAATGTCTGTGCTATTTGCATATTATTGTCAAGGAGTAAAGGTGAACTTAGGGAGGTTTTTAATATTGGTTCTTACAGCCTTGAATCTCTTTGACATTAAAGCACAACAAATCTAAAGGTTTTCTGTTGAGGTATTTGAAGGTTATACCACAAATTCAATTTGTGAGTTTCACAGCGTTCACTTTAATGGTGCAAACGTGAGCTGAGAGGTTCATTAAAATATAATTCTTAAAGAACAGAATCTTTAACAGAACAGAATTTTTAATCGCAAGCTTCTTCTAATAAAATTAGCTGGATGAGTAAAGCCAGTGGTAGTTACAAAGCCTCGGTGTGTGTGTGTTACTACTTTCTTCCCGTTTTCCATAAATACCAACACATAAATTAGGTGTGTTGATGCCCTCTGCTGGTCCTTTGCGCTCTCTGCAGCTAATAAACAAAGATTCATCTGACCAGGGCCGGTTTTTCTTTTTCTTTTTTATTTCTGTGTGCAATGACTCTGATCAGTGTAAACAAACTTCCCCCTGGTGATGCTGTTAAGGTCTTGTTAGTTTTGTTGGCCGAGAAGTGAAAGAGCTCAGAAACGATCGCTGAACATGAATAATTGAGCGAACTTGAGTGTGTTGTCTTCTAGTGAGGAAAATAAACTTCCAAACTCCCTGCATCTGCTCAGGCCAAACATCCATCATTTACAAGAGATCTTTGACTGACGGTTTGTCGCCCTGGTGTTATCACACATCCGTGGTGTCTGTAATTAATTTGCTTATTTGTTTCTGCCATCTGTCAGCCTTG